GAATTATTAATATAAAAAATATTTATTAATTGATATATAAAATGAAACAATTTTTCTAAAATTCTACCACAAATTAACTTTTATTATGAGTTTCTTAATAAAATTAAATCCAATTAAACAAGGATATACTTAAAGAAAATAAAATAATTTTTTTAAAACTCTATCACAAATCACAAATTTTATTTTCAATAAAACTCTATCACAGTAGACAAAGATATAATATTTAAAGAGTTTCTATAAAATTTTAACTCAAATTTTCTATTTATATATTTATTAAGTGTTTTTTTAATAAAAGGAGATCTAATTAGACAAGTATTATTAATATAAATAATTATTTATTAATTGATCTAAAATGAGTTTTTAAAAGAGTTTCTGTAAAACTATATCACAAATAACCTATTTAACTATTTATTATGAGTTTTTTTTAATAAAAGAAAATATAATTAGACAAGCATTATTAAGATAAAAAAATATTTATTGATTAATATAAAAAGAGGTTTGAAAAGAGTTTCTATAAAACTCTAACACAAATTACCTATTTATCTATTTATTATGAGTTTTTTTAATAAAGGTAAATCTAATAAGACAATAATTATTAATATAAAAAAATATTTGTTAATTGATATAAAAAGTGTTTTTTAAAAAATTTCTATTAAACTATAACACAAATTACCTATTTATTTATTATAAATAGATTTTCAGAAAATATAATAATTTCTATAAAACTCTACCACAAATTATTTATTTTATTTTCTTTAAAACTCTATCACATATAACTTGTTTCTATCTATTTATTGTGAGTTTTTTTATGAAGGAAATCTAATTAGACAACGATATATTTAAAGAAAATAAAATATTTTTTAAAAAGGGTTTATATAAAATTCTAATAAAAATTACCTATTTATGTATTTATTATGAATTTTTTAAGAAAATATAATATAGCTAGACAAGAATTATTAAAATAAAAAATATTTAATAATTGGTATAAAAAATAAAATAATTTTTCTAAAACTCTACCACAAATTATCTTTTATTATTATTTTTTTAATAAAAAAAATCTAATTAGACAAGGATATATATATTTAAAGAAAATTAATAATTTATATAAAATTCTACCACAAATTATCTATTTTATTTGCAATGAAACTATATCACATTACATAAGGATATATTTAAATAGTTTTTATAAAACTCTAACACAAATTACCAAAATTTTACCACAAATTAAGTATTTTATTTTCTTTAAAACTCTATCACGCATAACCTGTATTTATTTATTTATTATGAGTTTTCTAATAAAATAAAATATAATTAAATAAGGATATATTTAAAGAAAATAAAACAATTTCTATAACTCTATCACATTAGACAAGTATAGTTAAAGAAAATATATAATAATATAATAACAGATATAAATAAAATATAAATGTTAAAGAATTTGAACATTTCAGTATTTATTTTTTAATATAAAAAATATTTATTAATTAATACAAAAAGAGAACTCTATCATATATAAGTATATAACCCTTGTATTTATTTATTTTTTATGAGTTTTTTAATAAAAGAAAATCTAATTTTACAAAGATATATCTAAATAAAATAAAATAATTTCTATATAATTCTACCACAAATTACATATTTAAAGAAAATAAAATATAACCTAGGGTCTTCCAAAAACTACAAACTCCATATAATAAATTTTTATATCAATTTCAATCTAATGTATAATTAGTATAATTGAATTTCTATTTTAAAATTTATTTTAAAATTAATATAATTGAATTTCTATTAATATAATTACATATTGAATTTATTTAGTATAAGCATCGCACATGCCTTTTCCTAGTATATATGTATATTTGAATTGCACTTTGCAACCGTACAAAAGCAAATAAAAGTATCATTTTTATGCCTTCAATTTTGGTCTCAAATTTAGAAGCACTTCGATACTATTTAAATGATAACAAATGCTACCATACATATTTTATACTTTTACATCACTACAATACATTAACAAAAACAAAAAACACGAAGTGAAAACATTAGCCGAATATACTCTAAACAAATAATAATTTTTTTTTGTGGGGCTCACTATGACACATTAGGCTTTGGCTTGCAAAAGAGTCTTTAGCTCCCACCAGATAATCTTTGAAGAGTCAAAAAAAACTCACACACCCATTTATCATTATAAAACTTTACCCTCATCTTCTACGCTGAGATGTATACCTTCACCTTATACTTTGGGCATGTAAAAGAGAATTATTATTATTTATTTATTTTGACAAATAAAGGAGTAATGATTAATATACGGATGTAAAAGATATTTAGGCTATACAATTCTCTAATAACAAATTTATTACCCAACATAGTGTTTTGTTTGGTTTTTTTTTTAATTTTTTATTATTTATTATTATCATAATTCTCTTGAAAGTTTGGCGTAATTACCAGTTACATGCACGCCTGGACGAACACACGCACGCTTGTATTCTCCACATGCACACACACTCCACTGCACATTCTCACATGTCACGTGGATTGGCTCTTAATAGTATTTTTAAAAAGATAAGTATTAATATATATTATTTTTAATTTATAAAACTTGCATACTTTTATAAAAATTATAATCAGTTAATTAAAAAAATGCGGTAAGAGAAAACTACAATATATATATATATATATATTTAAAATTATTATGCCTATTTAATTGAAGTCTTCAAAAGTGCATATTTTTCTATAAACTCACACATCATTAGAAATTTCGAGAAGGTCAAAAAAAAAAAAAAAAAAAACACTCAAATTCCATGATTTTTAAAATTTAAAATTATCGTCGACCTATGGGGTTACATATTGAATTATAGAAGACATTGATCGAAATGTTAAAGTGCATTACATTTGTCTCAAAAAAATCAAAACTACTTTTCCAAAATTCATGACACTTTTTTGATAAATTTATTAGGATAAAAATATGAAAATATTATTTTAAAATGTGACAATCTTGTTATTTTCATTGAAGTATGAGGAAACTCAACAGTCAACACATTCCCCTAACATAACCAAACTCTCAATCTAATATATTTCAATAATGGAGAATTATTTGGAACCGGTATTAAAAAGGGTCTTTTAAAAATAATTTTAAATTTCGCATTTAATGAAAATTTTTATTTCACGATAACATAAAATACCTAAACTCAATGTTGGGGACTCCATGAATATCTACCTGAAGTCCTAATGTAAATAATTTTTTGTCACATTAATTTTATTTATTTTTTTAACCAACTAATACACAAATTACCAAGGTTTTGTAATCTAGTGTTTGAGTCTCTCTAAGAACAAAAATGAGTATGTAAGTATGTTTCTTGTCATGATTAAAAAATAATAATAATAAATAACTCACACATTCAATTTTGATAGTTGATTTATTTATTTTTAAAAAAAATTGTAAATAGGTACTTTATTTATTTAATTCTAATTTCACGTGTAATTTAATGATTAAATCAAGGTAAAATTGTTAAAGAAAATACTCCTATTGGAATATGTAAGTATATTTCTTGTCATGGTTAAAAAAAATAAAAATAAAACAACTCACATATCCATTTTTGATAGTTGATTTATTTATTTAAAAAAAAAATTGTAAATAAGGTGCTTTATTTATTTAATTATAATTTGACACAAAATACTGAATGCTAAATTGCTCTCATAATAGTCTTCAATGCACCTACTAACAAAGTACACACCGGCAGAGCTTTTTATCTCAAAAATAATTAATACCATTTAAAATCAATCTGATTCAAACGAAATCGAATTAACACGCTAGCAAGAAGAAAAGCTTCAGTGCCAATTTTCAACGATAATTTTCCACGTGGTGTCCACACCAGTCATATCTTGATCTGGTTCCACTTCAAACCAATCAGGATCCTCCACCTCAGAGATTTTTTTTCAAAATTTTAGGTAAATACCTTTTGAGTTTGTTATTTTCGTAGACGTGAACACTTGAAAAAGTGTTGTTAATACGTTACGTTAACATTCCCACCACTTGCTCACTTACTCTTTGACCAGTTATTCATTTCCCAAATCTTGCGACGCCAGCATCTGGACCCACCAAAGTGGGTCCCACATGATCCTTAGTCAAGATCAGAACAAGATGTCTATTTCGGTATTTCCTGCTATTGCCAAACCACAATGGCCTATTCCCAAAAGAAGTCGCAACACTTCAGATATTCGTACCATCTTTTTGTGACATGTTTGACCATCGTTTTTATTGCGTGTTTCGGGCTACGGGTGGTGGTATATTGTAGGGGAAGAAAATTTATTAACTAAATCTTTCTGTGTCCCCAAAAAATAAATAAATAAATAGACATCTTTTTACTTTTAATTATTTCAAAATAATTATTCTAGTTAAAAAGTTTTTTATAATCATCACATGACACACTATTACAAAGTAAACATCACGACACACTATTAAAAATTTGATAATTCATTCAGTATAATAAATTAATATTAAAATTCATCATTTAAAAAAATTAGATTCCCTAAAAGAAACATTTTTAAGAGTAATGGTTATCACCATTTGATATGGTTGTTACTATTTAAATATGAGTAATATTATATTGATGTTTCATATATTTTTGTATAATAGCAAGCATTCCACGTCCAATGACCAATTAGTTTCAAAACTATACACAGTCTTTGATCCAATGACCAGCTAAAAATGTGCTAATACATTTTAAGTAGGATGGTTAAATCACAACGTTGCAAGATTCGAAACCCCATCTAACAGCATCGATTTTAAATGGCCATTTATTATTCAATTATACAATATTTTATTACCAAATATATTTTCATATTTTTTACTTTAAATTTTTTTGCAAAAAAAAAAAAAAAAAAAAAAATTATGTTATTAAACATGCTTATAATTAAAAAAACAAAAAAAGCAGATTTCCAACGAGCCCTTGGTAAGTCCTAAAGCTGTATTGGCAATAGCAATACTCTTCTGATCACAACAAAATCAATTATTGTATTATACTATCGCTTACATTCTCTAGTACAAAAGTTCCAACGCCGTGGAATGTAAACCTCCACCAGATTTCTATTACCCAGAAAAATCCTTCAAAGTCCATTAAATCTGCGTTTTTCACTCCTTTCTCTCACTACTAAGCAACCGGAAAATGGTGGAACCGCTGGTTGTCGACGCCGATCGCCACCGTTCGGAGGAGCAACTCCTCTTGCCGGAGGCCAGCAATGGCGATCGCTCATGGCGGTTGAACTTCGACGGCTTTCAGTTCTCGGAGCGCAAGGAGAAGCCTCCTCGTGGCCTCCATCACTGTCTTGGCCTTTTAGGTATTTTTCTCAAATTCTCTACCTAATTACATTTTCAGCAGTACAGTACAGTTTATTTTCTTTTTCGTTTACTTTTCTTCAATTGTTCATCAGTGCTTCCAATTACATAATGTGTATACTTTCACACACACGCACACATAATGTATAGGAAGATCGAAGGCTTTCAATGAGTTGAGATTGCTCTACCGCGTGTTTGAGGTACTATTAATTGAGTGAAAGAAATGTGAAATGAATATAAGCTCTCCAAATGTAAAATATGGGTTTAAAAAATTCAGTGTTGAAGGCTGGTTTAGGTTAAGATTCTGTAATCACAGCAGAAGGATGATTTGATTGGATGAAGTGTGTAGTTGATTAACGACGAAATAGGTAGGCATAGATTCAAGTGGTTCACAATGGTAAATTGACTTGTTTTTTTACACCCTTTGAAACCAATACAATGGACGGTTTGAACTTGTGAATTCTCTCTCTCTTTTCATTTTGCTTCAATTTTTCAGCGACCTGTCATCAGTAATGACTCAATTCCTTCTTTCTATGCTTCTTAAATCCAAAAGGATGCAAAAAATAAAAAAAAATCTTTTTGTTAATAAACATAGGGTACTGGTAAGAAAGGTTTTTAGACATTTTGGTTCTTCAAAGTGGGAACACGCCCAAAAAGTTCCATAGAATGGTTTTCTGAGCACTTAAAAAGGTAAAATTGCTTTGACGATTCATGCTGAATCCATGAATACCAATCAGTGCATATTTAAGTTTTCCCTATTTTCAATTCTCTTGTTCTGTTTGATCAGATTTCCAGCCTTTCAGGAAGTTTAGTACAAGCTTTCCTCAAATTGATTTTTTTTACCCCCACACCCAATAGTTTGAATGGGTCATGTTAAACTACTAGACACATCATTTAGGAAATTTAAAAGTTACAATTAATATGCAGAGAGATTCCAAGAGTCCTAGTACTATTATCTTGTCCATGTATGTAGGTCCAGAAGATAATGTAGCGGAGTATTATCAGCAGCAGGTAGAAATGCTTGAAGGCTTTGATGAAATGGATGCCTTAGCAGATCGAGGTTTTATTCCTGGGATGTCAAAGGTTTATTTTGTCATCATGAACTGATTTCTCTTTCTTTGTTCTCCGTTGAAGTGGACCTGCACCTTATTTCAACCCACTGAAAAAGGCCTTGAACTGAAATGGTAACAATTTTGGTCGCAGGAGGAGAGGGAAAACTTGGCTAGAAGTGAAACAACTGCCATTAGAATTTCAAATGTTGCAAACATGATTCTTTTTGCTGCTAAAGTATATGCATCCATCAGGAGCGGGTCGTTGGCCATCATTGCATCCACATTGGACTCACTTCTTGATCTTCTATCTGGCTTTATTCTGTGGTTTACAGCATTCTCCATGCAGACGCCAAACCCATATCAATATCCTATTGGAAAGAGACGGATGCAGCCGTTGGTTAGTCCCCCTTCAATGTTTCACTTCATATGCATGCATCCAACTTGATGAATTCATTAGAGATTTCTACTTATCTGCAAAAAAATCTATAAGAAATTATCTCATTTTCTTTGTCTGCTAGGATGTACTGGTTTGATTTACTCTTACTATTTTTTTCCAATCACAATGGGTCCTTGATGGATATGACCATAGATGTAATTGTCCTTCTATATATGCTATATATATCCCCCAAGCCTTGTGGCTGGATCTATTTTATTAAGTCAAAGGACCAACCTCCTGAATCTACTACCAAATCCATTTTAAGTTTTTAACGTCACATGTTAATCTAATCTGGACTGGTTAGAGATATCTTTGTTTGGATATACACCATCTTGCTGTTGTTCCAAAGAAAAAACCATTTGGACAGAAGAGATGGATTGGTCCTCCAGCTTTGTTTGATATAAGAGCTTGTTTCTTAAGCTATTTTGGTGAATTTTTGCATTATGATTAAATGATTTGGACTGCGAAATGCTTAATGGTGATTGAGAATATAATTTGCACGAGTTGATGCTCTATAGTGTAACTGGATCTATGACCAGAGATAAGTGAGGTTGAAAACATGAGATTTCACGATGAAAGGTCCTTTTTCTTTTGGTAATCTCTCTCTTGGGTAAACCAAGGGAAATGAAAGATAGTTAATTTGTATGAGATAAAGAAAATATCTTATGTACCCATTGCAGTTATTTTTCTTACTGAACACTAGAATTACATTTTAGACCAGTGTTTCTACATCTTATTTAGTTCGATACTTTCAGCATGTCACACCACTATTATGTTTGTGTTGGTTTAACTTGTTGCTTGTAGCATGGTGGTGCGAGACCGCTTATTAGGGTGTAAGTTACCTGTTTTGGTGTGTGTAGCAGCATTAATTGGCCTGCAACTGATTGTAGTCATGGTGTGTGTTTGCTTATCTCGAACAGTTTGTAGTGGAAAACCTCGAGGTCCTCAATGACATAATCACTTGTAATCACTCACTGGAGCTTGGAGGTTTATTTGGACATTCTCCCTCCAAGTGAAAAGGGAATTCATTAAAGCTGCTTTTCAACTATTTTAGCCTCTTCGGATAATAACTAGCTAAGGCCTCCTATACTTGCGAAAGAGCATCAAATAATCTAGGCCAAACACCTCCCTAGCAGCTTTATTGAACATGATATGCCCCTACTCCTCCCTTTTTATTGCTGTCCAACCCCCACGGACTACTAACAATCCAGTAATTGTTGCAATAAAAATATACATCCAGTCTCATTAATTGATAGACTGCTCAGATCTTGGTTAAATGAGTGGTTAAATGAGTAGTACTAATTATTAGTCAGATATAATGGATCCCATTCTTTGTTGTAGGACAAGCTAAGGTTCCCCTTCTGTATCAGTATTTTGGTGGCCTGAAGTTCAAGTCGTGTTCCTTTACCTTCCCTCTTTTTCTTCTTTCAATAAATCTGTTATTGCAGCACGAACAACCTTGCTTGTTTAATTTTTCTCAATTTAACATTTTTCTGATTTCAAATATTTCAGTGTACTTAATGACATTTTGATATTTCATTGCCCTGAGTTTCAGTTTCATAGGTTTCCTCCTTTCCAATTTCTGTATTTTCATGGCTTCATGCACTTTTCATGGTGCACAGTCAGGGTGGGGCTGTATATAATTTCTATCTAATTCTGTTTTCTTTTATTTTATCATCTTCATTGTCATCATCATAATCCTCCATACCTTAATCCCACATGTACAGGGTTGACCATTAATGGTCTATTATGTCAGTTCTACTCAAATTGTGAAAATTACTGTTTATCATGATAATTTTCGGCACTTATCAGTGCTGTGAATATGGATTTTAAGTCCACTGAATTTTGAAAATTATTTTTTACCTTTTTTAGTAGTATATGAAACCCTATATTACCTTCGTGAGACTCAATTCCTACAAAAATGATGATCTGCAGGGAATTCTTGTTTTTGCTTCTGTCATGGCGACATTGGGACTGCAGATAATTTTGGAGTCTCTTCGCACACTAATGTCCGATGTAAGTGGCAGTTTAATTCAAATTGTGCTTGATAAAGTATTTTTTAATTGATAAAATTTGTATTTCTCCGTTGGGACACTAGTGGGAAGTGGGAACTAATGGTTTGATTCTTGAAGATATTAACCGATGACATGTTCTTTAACTGTATTCATGTTGTCAGATCTAAAATAAAGCAGGGAGGAAAGTTGTTCTATTAATTGATTTTTAACAACTCTTCCAGGAAGACAATTTCAACATGACCAAGGAGCAAGAGCTATGGGTTGTTGGGATTATGCTCTCTGTGACTCTCGTAAAACTCCTCCTTGCTGTGTATTGCCGCTCTTTTACCAACGAGATTGTCAAAGCTTATGCGCAGGATCACCTTTTTGATGTTATCACCAACATCATCGGCCTTATTGCTGTACTCCTTGCTAATTATATTAGTTATTGGATGGACCCTGTTGGAGCAATCATTGTGAGTGAATTCTCTTTATTCCCATGTCCTTTTATTCTTCCTTTGTATTTTTTTCTTTCTTTATTTTTAAAAAATTGTTCAGTGTCTGTAGTCAAGACTTGCATCTACACCAAAATGAATTAATGTTTTCATAGTTTTCGAAAGCATAGCACTTCCCGTTAAGATGTGGTTTAAAATAATATCAATCAACATAGATTACGATCGCATGGGATCGACCTTGGAGTTCAGAATTTAATGGGAATTTTTAGTGTTTTCATGAAAAACTGAGGGCTGTTTATTTTATATGGACATAAGTGATTGCACTGGTGTATTGAATTATATCTAACTTCCCCTTTGAAAGCCCCAGCATAATCTTGATGCAATTCAGGTGATTGTAAGTTTGTCACATCTGAGCGTGTGGCTCTTTTTTTGTCATGATTGCCGAGCATCAACCAGACTCGGCATCTTTTTACATTATTGATATAATTTGTGAATGAGTGGTGTTTTGTTCAAATCTTCGTTGGAGAAGACTGCTTCATTCTTTTTTTCCTTCCTAGTTTGGAGAGACCACTTCATTCTCCGGTCCTATTTTTTGTGACATTCACCTGGACTTCTAAACATGCGAACTTTTACATATTGCAGTTGGCCCTGTACACTATCCGCACATGGTCACTAACAGTATTGGAGAATGTGAACTCCCTTGTTGGAAGATCCGCCGCACCAGAATATCTGCAGAAGCTCACATACCTCTGTTGGAACCACCACAAGGCCATAAGGCACATCGACACAGTCCGGGCTTACACCTTTGGTTCTCACTACTTTGTGGAGGTCGACATCGTCCTGCCACAGCATATGCCCTTGCGAGAAGCTCATGACATCGGGGAAGCCTTGCAGGAGAAGCTTGAGCACCTACCTGAGATAGAACGCGCCTTTGTCCACCTCGATTACGAGTACAGTCACAAGCCTGAGCATGCTCAAGCACACCTCTAGTTACAAAATATGGTAACTGTTTGTCTGTGCCTATTATTTATTTTCTTCCTATGTTAAACTTTTTGTTATATACTTCGAATTAATCAATATCAAGGATTGCTTTTAGACGGGCAAAAATAGTATGGAAATAGTTACAAGAAAACAAACTAGATCCTCTGTAACAACACTAGAAATGGAGTCGGCGTGAACCAAACTGGAGGAGAAAAACATGAGTTCATGTCCGTCGGAAAGAAAGACTGGATGCTTCCATCTTCCACGTTAAACACGCCCAATCACGACAAGGTTTCGGACCATCATAAGTGAACATTATGATCCAAAAATTGTCATCCGTAAAATAAATGCAGTTTCCTTTAAACCCTCCCGAAAAGAGGCTAGCAGAGAGGGAAATGCCCCCGTTGGTGCCTACAAACAGCATCTGATCACCCAAACTGTCAACTTTAATCCAACCACAACCGTAACCACTTAAAACTAACTTATCGGCATCTTTGGGAAATTTCAAGTATCTAGTCACCATTAACAGCTCCCCACAAGATTCCGCCAAATAAATCAACTCACCATCCCTCAGTAAAAGTCGAGCATGGACTTCAGGACAGGGCATGTATGGGGATACAACTCAATAAGCCAAAGTTCATAATGATCGGTGACAGCATACAACCGATCTCTGAACAATATCATGTCCTCAAAAAAACACTCCTAGCTGCTCGATCCTGAAGCCAGTCCAGGCTTCATCCCCTGGTCTGCAAAAGCACAAATGGATGCAATTGTCAGCCATGGAGTTACCACTACCCTCCTGGACCTTGCAATGACGGGAGTCTCTTAATAATATGGCCCTGCGTATGTAGGATGGACCATGCAACCAACACAAGGTACCATGGAAGTAAAGAAAGGTGTGACGACAAAAGGCAAGTCAAGTCTGGGATGGAAGCTGGATCTGAAGCCTCGAGAATGGATTCAAAAGGAAGTTGTCTCCGGTCTCATTTGCCATTATCAACCATCCCCAGGAGGAACCACAACACCTACACCCACGAACCTCGGGCAGCTTCAGCTTGAAAATTTTTCCATGGTCGAGACTGAGAAATGCATGACGATCATCGTCCTCGGAATTGTTGTTGGAAGAGAGCATTAGCCAAGGAAACTGTCGCAAAGAGAAGTGTTGCTTTTGCTTTGCAGCCACTGCAGTGGATCTCCATGGCTTGCAAACTGCACTAAAGCGATGGTAGTCCACAATGTCAAGCATCTCAAGTATAAGCTCCATGATTTCTGGTGGCAGTGCAGTTATCAAGTCACCAAATTTCACAGCCACCTTTAATTTTTCCATTTCGTTATCGTTTCTTTAAAACGAAAGCTCCTCTTATTGCTGGTGATTGAGAAATGAACTACATCAATACAAAAAAGAAAAAAAGGAGGTCATTATTAGTTTTTTTCTCTATTCCTACCAAAGAAAATGATGATTTATTAGGTACTCGGAAATAATAGGGAAAAAAAAATTCTAATTTTTTATTTTTTATTCCAAAAAAATACAATAAAATAATATCTATGTATGTATCTAGCAGTTGTTGAGCAGATATAGCACTAAAAATAAAGATGGATGGTCAGACTGAGTAAATTGATATAAATGGGAAAAGAAGAAAATCAGCTGATTTGCTCAAAACCAAGCTTTTTTTGAAGGATTAACAAGCCAGAAGCGGCATGAGGTCGCCCATGAAGAAATGAAATTGGCGAGCATTTGACTCATTAGTTCTCAAACTCTGATAAGTGAGAACTAATCATACATTGATAACAAAAGAGATGATCGCAAGTGATCGGATAGATAGATATATGTATATCTCTATCTGTATTTATATATATATATAATAAAGACAATTGAACAAAAAAAATATATATATATCATGAAAGTCTTATCAGAATTACAAAGTTCTGCTGGCTAAATCGAAACCCTTATCGGTTAAGTACGGATCATTGAGTTTTTTATTTATTTATTTTTAATTGAACCCTAAGACACACAATCCTTTTCAATAACTGTCGCTCTTAGCATGTTTCCGTTCAAATTCTCCTTACTTGTGATATAATTTTGCCGCTCTTACTCCCATTTTAAGTGACTTATATTTAATCATAGTCGAATAGGAATGGGACTGGGACTTCTGGGGTGGGGATGGAAGAGGGGGAGTCGGCTGAGTAACAAGTAACCCTTAAAAATAGTAATGATACAAAAACTGTTGTCATCCAGTGCGCAACCACTTGTCTTTTAACGATGCGATAGAGAACAATAAGACGTTTTGGGATAGGAAGGAAAATGATAAGGAATTTGAGATTTAATCCAACACGATTGTATACATCATTTAGTGATATTTTTATTTATTTATTTAGAAATGTGATATTCGCATTCTACTTTTAACTTCACTACAATTTTAATCTTAACTGTACAAATAAATAATTATTACTTTTTAAATAATACAATTGTCTTTTCATATTTCCTCTCATTATCTCTAATCTTTAATGTTTTAAGTATTTTTTGACAACGCAAATAAAATAAAAATTAAATATCATTTTTTAAGGGACCAAAAATAAAATTTTGTTATGTTAAATAAATTGCCTCTTTTGGCCGGATAAAAAAAATAAAAGTAATCATTTAAAAAATTCTCTCTTTTGACATTAAGAAAAAAAACCCTAAAAAAATATATTTATTGAATAAATTATCATGTTGTCAAGATCCCAAAATAATAATAATAAAAAATACAAAAGGAAGATGCTTACAAAAAATATATATCTCTATTGAACAAATTATGTCTTTTGATAAGACTGAAAAAAAATTATTTTTATCAAATAAATTATTTCTTTTGATAGGACTCATAAAAAATTACCAAAAAAATAAAGTTACCTCTTTTTGACAAAATTGAAAAAAAAATCAATTTTATTGAATAAATATCTCTTTGGATTGTTCAAAAAAAAAAAAAGTCACTATGAAATAAATTATTTCTTTTGACTGTTAAAAATAAAATTATTAGTATATAATAAATTATTTTATTTGAGAATACCTCAGGAAAAAAACAAAAAAGAAAGCAAAAAAAAAAATACTAAAGAACGTAAAAAAAAAATAAAAAAATTAAAATTGTATATAGAATAGTCTCCCTTTATTTAATATAAATAATATATTAATATCTATTTCTATAAATATATTTCAAATGTCACATGCAACAAAAAATTTCATTTTTATCATTTTCTAACCTTTAGAATCAGATATAGGATCCCTTCATTTAAAATAAATACAAACCCATGGTTTGCCCGTGCATGTCTCCTGCCTGTGTGTCACAGAAACTATGCGGGATGTGACAAAGTACTTGTTAAGTAAATTCGACTCAAATGTTGATCGCTTCAAATATCTACTAGTAATTTATAACAAATTTCATGCGCAAAAAAAATAAAAAATTGAATGTGACAAAGTACTTGTTAAGTAAATTCAACTCAAATGTTGATGGCTTCAAATATCTACTAGTAATTTATAACAAATTTCATGCGCAAAAAAAATAAAAAATTGAAATTTTTTATTTTTCTTTTAGAATTGTGACAACTCCACAGGGTTATTTCAAGTGGGTAATTTTTTTTAATTAAACTATCTTAGCGTTGGTGATTGAGAAAGGAACCAAATCACTACCAAAAAAAAAAACAGTCATTTTTAGTTCTTTCTTAGTCCTAGCAAAGAAAATGATGAACTATCCACGAAAATTGAAATAAAGAAGTTCTAATTTGTTTTTGTTTTGTTTTTTTTTTTTCTTTTTCAAAAGTTTTGACTTTTGAACAAGAGCAAATGAGCTTGATTATCTTCGATTGTCATATTTTTCCCATGTGTATCAATTTACTCAGTCTGACCATCCATTTGTTTTTTTAGTGCTATATCTGCTCAACAACTGCATACATAAATTCATATAATATATATATTTTTTGTTTTTGAGCAGATATAGCACTAAAAAAACAAATGGATGGTCAGACTGAGTAAATTGATACACATGGGAAAAATATGACAATTGAAGATAATCAAGCTCATTTGCTCTTGCTCAAAAGTCAAAACCAAGTTGGAGCATTATTATAGTGGCAAGTACATAGAATGACTAATAAGGAACTATTTCTTTCATTTGCAGAAATGTTACGTAGCAAGACAAAATATAAAAAAATGGAAAAAAAAAAAAAAAAAATTTTAAATTGGTGAGAATTTGACTCATTGCAGATGTTAATGTCATCATTTGACTTACCTGCGTAACCTTCTTCTTATGAATGGCCAATTTTTTTAATAAAATAAAAGGAGGTAATATTCAAAATCTCGCCACAACCAGTAAAACCGATGGTGCAAATACCATTCTCGTCGCACAATCAGGGGTAGTGAATTGTCAAATACAAGCCCTTTTATATATAATGTTGTAGGCTTATGTCTTAAATTTGAGGTCCTTTCAAATTGAAGGTCACAGGCGACCGCTTGGACCACCCTTGCACACAACCACCACCATCATTCCTATAGTGGACAACCACCACCACCATACCCACAGTCGACAACCACAGCCACCATCCCTATAGTCAATAACCACCATGCAAATGTGCTTGGAGTTTCACACAACTAATAATGTAAGACTCATGTTCTTTGTACAAGGAGAAAGACTTCCCTTACATCTTTAATACTTCATTATGTGTGCCATCAACCAATTGTATCATGTCACATATGAAAAAATGCTCTATTTTATTGCGCCTTATTACTAAATGACAATATTTAATTAGTTGGTGATATCATCATCACTGCAATCAGTGATAGATCTAGAAAATTATGTGAGGGAGACAAACTTATACAGAGAGTTTTTTTTCTTCATAATTTCAGTGGGGGCAATTTCATAATTTGATAGGTATAGATACAAAAAAATAAAAATTCAAGAGCATAAAATGCAAAAACAAAAATTTGAGTGGGAGCATGCTCCCACTTAGGGGCTCAAATCCCCTGCTGTTCATTACCCTACAGTCACCTACTGTGAGCTGATGAAAGGCCTTAGTTTGGCCACGTATGCTTCAGTTTGTAATATGTCTGTGGGCTCCACTAAAATGGTGCAAAACATATTATTCCGTTAAATCTGCCTTCC